TGAAGACTGAAAATTGGTTGACACCTTTGTTTCGTAGAGTTTTATTTCATTTGTAAATGAACCGTTTTAATGGAGGTCAAAAGAAGATGTGATAGAACTATGGGTTGATCACTCCGTTTAATGCATTTTTAATCATGAGAGGGTGACGTGCTCATAATGTCTCCTCCTGATTTCTACACTAGAAAATGAACTTTAAGCCAGAAAAGATATTTCTTAGTTCCTCTAGTTCCTCTTCTTACTCTAATACACAAGGAATGATTGAGAATTCATATGTACTCAGTCAAGGAGTCTTCATTCTGAATTTTTTAAGTCTGGTTGTAGTTCAGGTTCCTGGGAAGCTGATCATGAGGTGGACTTTACCTTTCAGGGAGTTTATTCCGAATTAGGAATACCCTTGGGATTAACACCTATGTGGAAAGGCAAGAAAGCAGGACTAGGCAGAGGAAGAAGTTGGACTGAGATACAGTCACAATAAAAGACTCAGCTTCCAAGCTGGGATGGCCCTTAAGAGTTGTCTTTCCATGCTTTTATGCCTTTCAATCTTCCAGTTTCTGCCACAGAGTGCAGACATTCGGTATATATGAAATGGGGACATACAACGTCTCTCTTTCATAGTCTGGCTTGCTCAGAAAGATATTGGATACCAAAGACAGTATAGGAGGAGGGTGGAAAATGGCAGGGGTTGGGGGAAAGGAATCAAGGGGCAAAAAATTCAATAGACAAAAGAAATAGAAGGTTATCTGTCGATGATAATGTGTATGATAATTTCTTTAACTGGACTAACATCCATGGTATTCATGCTGGGAAAATTCATTTCCATGTTGTAAAGGTAGACACTGATTTTATGTTAAAAAAAAAAATAAGAAAGAAAGAAAAAAGAAAATAAAGTAATTAAAAAAGAGTTTTCTTAAACTGTGGTGGGGGATTGGGTCTTTACACCCCCATAGCAAATAGTAACTGATTGAAGGCTTCTCCCTCTGCCCGCCCTCACCCCCTCACACACACACACACAAGAGGCCATGTCTTTTAGCTGAAAGCAGTTCCTAGAGTGGGTTGACGGCTGATATCAGCCAGCACATTCCCAGAGCTGGGAAAACAAGTTTTCCAGCCACCAAGGGGGGGATCTGAATGGCTCAATGAAGGGGCAATGACAAGCACAAATATTTAATTCAGCAGTTAACCACAAAACCATTAAATGGCAATATGGCAAAATCCATACTAGTATATAACCACACCAGCCAGGGGAGATTTAAAGTAATAACTAAGAATTCTTATATGAAATTTTCACAGACTTCTTTTCTGGGTCATCGCAAAACAAACCTAATACATTTCTAGCATCACTTCTATTAATCATTTTATTTGATTACCCTTAGGAACATTCCTTCCCTAGAGTGTAAGGAAGAGAATTCAAGATTAAACAAGAGCAGGAAGGAGGCTCAGAAATAACATCTTTCCACAAGTAATATTTTTCCTACAGACTTAAATTGGAAGAAATCCAGTAATTTTACCTGAATTCTAACTTTGAGAAATTCTCTATGGAAGCCCTAGATCCTTCCATAAAATTGCCAAAAGCTGAAGCTGGGAAAGTGTAGGTGTTCAGAAAGACACAGAGGCAGTGGGAGGAGCAGGAGACTGAAGCCAGGTGGGAGGGGGAAGGAGGACGCATGGAACAGGGCCACTCCATGGAGAGCCTCAGACTTGCTCATGGTTGACAGACCTGGCAGGATAGTGTTCAGGAGATAATTGGGTGCTAGGGGAGAGGCAGTGCCTCCAAAGGGTTGGAACATGTACTGAGCAGCCAGACCCCATGCGATTCAGACTAGCTTGAGCAAGTCTCTTAAAGTCTTCAGGCCTCAATGTAAAAATGGATGACACTATTCTGCCTCTTAACTAGAAACAGGAATCTGAAGTCACATGTTTAACTTCAGAATATACTTGTGTATTAGTTTCCTATTGCCGCTGCGACAAAGTTTATCAGAAATTTAGTCATATCCCTGGAAATCAGGAATCTGCAATGTGCTTCGCTGGGTTCAAGTTAAGGTGTCAGCAGGGCTGGTTCCTTTTGGAGGCTCTCAGGAGTTATCTGTTTCCCTGTCTTCTTCAGCTTCCAGAGGTTGCCTGTATTCCTTGACTTCTAAGTCCCTTCTCCATCCTCAAAGTATATTACTCCAATCTGCTTCCATTATCACCTCACTCTCTCTTCTGTTCTCATGTCTCCTACCTATAAAGCACTTGTAGTTATATTTAGGTATCACCTAGATAATCCAAGATAACCTCCCCATCTTGATATCCTTAACTTAATCATACTTATGACATCCCTTTTGTTATGCAAAGTAACAGGTTCTGGAGATTAAGATGTAGATATTTCTGGAATGTCATTATGTAGCCTACCACATATATGTGATTAAATGAGATGGTTTAGTTAATAAAAAATTACACTTGGGGGGGTAACTGAAGTTACTGAATTACTTCTATTTTTAAAAATTAACGTCATTCCTGCAAATTCTTTTCATACCAGAAATTATTAGTGTTCACTAAAATATATACCTGTTCCCCTACAATGCTCCATATCACATCCTTGCAAATGAAGCTGAGATGCATAGGATATGAGCAGAGATTATAATACCTACTCTAGGCTGGTTCTTAGAAATGGCCACCCTTGCAGGTGGTGTGGTGATTGAGGCACTGGACTTCCATATGGCCAACCACAGTTCGAGTCCCGTACCTGGTGGCTTGCTTTCTAACTTTCTCTGTCTCTCTCTGATGAGTATGTGTGCCTGATAACAAATAGAAAAAAATAATAATAATACATAAATTCACATAAATATTTCTAAAAATAAAATGGCCACCCTCACTTAACTATCCAACTATTATTTTCTTTTCAGAGTAAAAGGAACCAAATCAACGGGAATAAATTGTGACTGTGTCAGACAAACTAGGATGGATGGTCACCCCATGTGAAAATATCCCGTGAAATTCACTCTCTTCTCCTGTCGCGGTTTTTATATGGTGCAGACAGCACAGTCATGAGAGGCAAGGGAGTTGCCCAGCCACAGTGGACTTTGCATGGAAAAGGAAGAGGCTTTACTGGCACTGAGACTTGATGCCTGCTCCTTAGCACTGCGGTCTGCTCGACCCTGACTAAACCTTATACTCTGGCAAGCTTATTCTCCCTTCCTTGTGTCTCTGAATGGTAGAAATTCCATCAGAGTAAAGGTTTAACTCCACTTAAAGGTCAGGGCTTTGAATCTCAGCAGCAAAGTCATAGAATAAATGTTGTAAGTGGGTACCCGTAGCTGGGTTCCCTCCTAAAGGGCTCTGCGGGGTCTGCCTGTGAGCTTCTGACCTGGGGTACAGCACGAAAACTCCAGAGTTCTAACAACACTTGGCATTTCTTGATGTTTTTTCATGGAGAAGCTCACTGGGCTTCACTTCTGGCAGCTTAGAACAGGAGGCTATCTTTTAGAGCAAAGACTTTATAAAGGACATGCACTGAGGTTTGCATTCTGTTCCTGGGACTTTGTTGCCGAGAATCAAAGCTCGCCGGGCTTTGTGAGTTAGCGGCTCCCACTGCAGTAGCAAACTGGAGGGCAGACCTTGTGTGCACAGTGTGGAAGGAAATCCCGCTCACGCTGACTGCTTTATTCACACCAGTGTAAGGCACAGCGGCTGCAAACCGTTCTTCCGAGGTGGCCGAGACCGACTGCCAATTTCTTATGGGAAGTCTAACCCAGTCTACATATTACAAAGACATTTCACATGAATTATTTCATTTAACTTTTTACTAGATCTTCCTTGAACAATGAGCTTTGTCAGTTAATAGTAATAAGGAAAAGGCAAGAAAAGAACAGGAAGGGCAGGAGAGGCTGAGGGGGAAGGTAGGATAGGTGGAGCAGAACGTCCACCATGGAGCCCTGCTACTTCCTGCGCAGCAGGCGCAGCCTCAAGAGCTTTTGGCTGCTGCTAATTCTGTTGTCAAAATAATACGTGTCAATATTCATAAGTGTTTTGTTTTGTTTTTAAGGGATAGCTCTCTCCATGGGATTATGCTAGATAATAACAGGATAACACAATACCAAAAGTCACATACTGTGTGATTCCTTTTTGTTTTGTAATGCCAAAGGGCACATCCATAGATAAGAGAGAGAGAGACAACAAGTCACATACTGTGTGATTCCTTTTTGTTTTTTAATGCCAAAGGGCACATGCATAGATAAGAGAGAGAGAGACAACAAGAGAGCATTCCCCCACTCAGTAGGGGGCCTGGTCCTGCAACAGTCTTTTTTCCTCCTTTTCTCCTGTCAGGGCCTTGGGTACACACATTCCTGGAGTGTTTTTTAGTTCACCAGCGCCAGGATTTGGCCATGTGGGATCTGACTTTATCTGCACAGTGCTTAACCACTTCACTACAGGGCCTGCCCTGTCATTCCTTTTATATAACATTCTTGAAATTAAAAAATAGAAATGCAGAATGAATTGGTGATTGGCAGGGGTTAAAGAAATGGGCATGAGTGAAGAGAGTGTGGCCATAAAAGAGTGACAGAAAGGATCCTTACGGGGATGAAAAGGTTTTGTATCTTGACTGTACATATATCAATATCCTGGTTGTGATGTTGTCCTACAGTTCTGCAAGTTGTCTTCCTTGGCAAAAAACTAGGTAAAGGGTAGAGAGTACCTCTCTGTGTTATGTCTTATAAGTGCATGTGACTCTGCAATTATCTCAAAATAAAAAGCTGAATTGAAAGAGGATGGTTGAAAAATGACATTAATGGTACAACTATTAAATTACCATGTACTCTTTGAAAATTAGCAAACATTTAAATAGGGTAAAAAAATCATGAAAAAAAAAAGAGGATGGCTGGGACTAGCAGATGGTGTAATAGTTACGTTGCTGGACACCCACGTAGTGACTGTGGTTTGAGTCCCAGACCCGGTGGCTTAAAACTCACACTGGGTGTGTGTACAAACGTGCTAAAAATCCTAACAGGAGAGCAAGAGAAGAAACTGTGGTGTGGCCATCCCCCGTGGGGCGGTATGATTTCTTGCTTTCTGTCTCTCTGCCCCTCTCTGTCTATCTGGTGAATGCATGCACCCCATAGCAAAAAAATCTGTCTTAAAAAAATAAAATTAAATTAAAAAGAAGATTGCTATGGTCAAACAAACAAATGATTCATTTCACCTTTTTTTTTTTTTTAAGTCTGGGAAAGGTAAGAATGATGATGTATTATTGAATGCCTACCACTGGCATTATACTGGTGCTATCTTAAATGTGTTCGGTATTGTTTCTAATACAATCTCACAAAAGGAGTAGTGACCACCGACTTACAGACAAGAAACTAAAGCCTACTTGCTTGTAATCACACAACCAATAAGGAGTGGAATCAAGAACTGAACCACGTTTTTATGCACGAAGACACATTGCTTCTGGAACCCTCAACAGAATCTAAAAATTGACCTGAGGTTTTCAAAGATTAATGACTTGCCCATAGGGGAAGTGCCCAGCGCTGCCCCCACCTTCCTGGGCTACCGCAGGTGGTTTGGGAAAGAATGTAACGGCACTAGCTATCTGAGATACAGGTGGAATTGGCACAAAAACCTCAAATGGCTGAATCCAAAGCAAATAAGGAAAATGGGTAAATTTTTACACCTGCTCCTTCTTTGGATGTTTAGTTAAAGAACATTTGTCAGGAGAATTTCCAAAAGTTTTCCAACTGATTCAGCTCTATGGGGCAAAACAAACAAACATCTCCCTAAAATGAACATATAATTCCATTGTTAAGCATCCAGCTGTTTAATCAAGACATTCGGTTTAGTAAACCTAATGAAGAAAACAAAACTAAACATCTAACAAGATTTTCAGCAAAACAGAGAGGCATGGACAGAGTTGCTAATGATACCCCTGTCTCTCACCTCATCTGAAGTTACATAAAGTGACTAAACTTCAGGAAACTGTCCCTCTGAGACGGAAATGCAGTTGTAACCAGAATGAAGCCAGGCTTGGTTAATCACGGTGTGCACGCTCTTCTCATCGCTTTTACAGTAAATGCATATCATCAGATTCATGATGATATCTTGCTTTAAACTGTATCCAACTATCATTATACCCCTAAATTGCACGGCTAACAAAAGCAAGACTGGTACTGTGAGCACAGATAACACAAAGGCTCTCGGTCCCTTGATGAACGAGAGCGTATTTCACCTTGACACTATTGCAGGCAAATCTCGAAGAGATGAGCATTTTGGAAATGCTATAAACAGCTTAGCCTTTTCTTAGCATTTTGAAGAGCACATTAATAGCCCGGCCTTTTCTTAAGGGCTTTTCTTTCTCCCTTAGCCAAATTTGACAGTGAGAACTGAACAGCAACTGGATGGAATCAAAGTCAGCGTTGTGTTTTAAAAGCAGTGTGGAACTAATGTCATCTGGCATTGTCTTCGAAAGCATATAAGAATATTAAGTGGATGGCTCATGAACTTACATGCAAAGGATACTCTTCACTTGAGGACAGAATGATAATGTCTCACAGAGAAAAGATGTAATTCTAGATGGTTATAAAATCTATTCGGACGGCTCTTGGCAGGTACAAAAAAAAAAAAGATAGAAAGAAAATATGCAACTCTCAACATGACCAGATATTAATATAATTAACTCTTTAATACTTAGTAAATACCTGCTGCTGAATATGTGAAACCTTGTGCTTAATGCTGTCCATGACAGTTTAGAGAGGACTGTCATTACTATCTGCCACATGGGAGGTTTAGTTAGAAAGAAACCAAGAGGCACACAGTAAAGCAATAAAATTACCCAAAGGAATTAAATAGTCTAACATCATCCTCTAGGATTTAATATCATAACCAAAGCCAAGTGGAAGCTGTCCCACATAAACAGGGGTGTGTGCAACCCCACCTAGCACCCACAAAGATTCTTAGGTTGTTTCAAAGGGTGCTTGGTGAATCCACCTAGTTTGTATCCTACTCTGACAGTGCCAATGCACTCCACAACTCCATGAGAGTTTCCTGGCATATTTGGAGATGGTTATTGAAGAATTTTAAAAATGTCCAAGCAGGTTCCTGGGAGTAGCCTCTGTTCCAAGGAGCAATGCGCCTAGAGTTGGGAGTTTTGTTGGATGTTGTGGCCGACTGTGTTATCTCAGAACAGCTGCAACAACTCCCAAACCCAAGGTTCTGCTTATGATCTGACTTCGACACTCCACTCATAGGGAGTTAGAGTCTATGCCCAACTTTTTTTTTTTTTTTTGAGAGGTTTTTGCTATAGGGCACGTGCGCTTGCCAGAAAGACAGATAGAGACAAAGAGACAGAAAGCAAGAAATCACCCCCCAGGGAGGATGGCCACGCCGCAATCCCTTCTCCTTCATTCTCCCCTCAGGATCTTGGGCATGCACACACACGCACCTGGCATGAATTTAAACCACCAGGTCCAGGACTCGAGCCACGGTCGACTACATGGGAGTCCAGCGACATAGCCATTACGCTAACTGCTGGTCCCAAGGCTATGTCCAACTTTAAACCTGTTTGAATGGGACAAGTCAGGAAGGGTCATTATGTAATTTCTAGGCTAGGGCATAAACAGTGACAGAGCTTCTGCCCAGTTCTCCAGGAAGGCTCGCTCTTGAAACTCAACCTCCATGCTGTAAGGAGGCCCAGCCAAGACAGATCACACGTCACATTCTGGTCCACAGCCAAAGCTGTGTTTCAGCTCCCAGAAAGAAGTCCATGGCCACCGGCCAGCATCAAGCAGCAGACTCCATGAGCCCTCAGTGATTCCAGCCTCCAGCCTCCAGCCTCTGCAACTGAATTATTCCCAACTTTCAAGTCTTCTCTCAGTGAATGCCTCAGATATCAGAGAGCAGAGTCATCCTGTCCCACTGTGCCCTTCGCAGTTGGTGACTCACAGACTCCTAATAAAATGGTAGTTCTTTTATGCTACTAAGTTCAGGGTGCTTTATTACCAAACAAAAATGAATAGATGAGAACAGGAATGTGTGAGGTTAAAAATGGTGTGCCCAGGGGCTAGCAGATGGTGTGGTGGTTAAGGTACTGGACTTCCACATGTCCGACTGCAGTTCAAGGCCCAGACCCAGTGGGCTTAAATATCATGCCAGACGTGTGTGCGTGCATGCTCAAAATCCCAAGAGGAGAAGGGATTGTGGTGTGGGCCATCTCCCTAGAGAGTGGACTTCTCACTTTCCCTCTCATTGTCTCTCTCTGTCTCTCTCTGGCCAGGGCACATGCCCTATGGCAAAAAACTAAAAATAAATGAAGAGATAAAACCATGGTGTGTTCAGCCATGCCTAGTGCTTACCTTACTCCAGCCTCTTTTGGGAATGTACTCAGTCTCTGTCTCAGTCACTCTGCAGTTCTTCTACTTACAGCTACTCTTAGGGGACACAAATCAATTTACAAGGATCTCATTCCAGGTGAACTCAGGTAGCCCCTTGATGATAGCAACTGACATTTTTCTCAGTGTGTGCCTGGCATGGCACTGTTCTGAGAGACTTACATGGCTTAACTCACATGACATCCCTGTGAGGCAGAAAACTGAAGCACTGCGGTTAGACAACTTGTCTAAGTTTTCACAACCATTGGGGTGTCAGAAAAGTCATGAGTATTTTTTCTGTTTTTCTATGCAAAAATGTGGCATGACTTTTCTGACAAGCCAACAGAAAGTAGCAGAGCTGAGTCTGGGTTTGGAGCAGGGCAATGTATCTCTCCAGACACTCACCACGTTCACCCCTTCACAAACCCAGACCCCCAACTCTCCCTCAGGGACACATTGTTAATGTAGCTCTTCCACCTGGATGGTCAAGAATCTCCGACCTGGGCAGGACTGGCTTCAGTATAATGATAACAACAGGCTCTGGAGTCTGCCAGTTTGGACTGACAGTTATCAGCTGTGTGACTCCGAGCAGGTCTGTTAACTTCTCTTACTCCATTCTCATCTTAGTTCTTCTTTAGTTTATGTATGTATTTCTTCCCTAAGTGAGAGATATCTTCTTTAGTTTATGTATGTATTTCTTCCCTGAGTGAGAGATAGAGAGAGAGACAGCACTCCCAACAGGGTCTTCACACCCCTAGGTACCCAGCCTCAGTTAGCCCTGGACTGTAGGCACAAACACACATGCTCCCCTTACTCGGGGAGGTCTTTAGCTGCAAATCCAGAACCTTCCCATGTGCATCATCCTCACTGAGCACTGTGTTTTACCACTGAACCACAGCCCACTCCTATTCTTACCCATCTTTGAGCAGCCACCCATTTTAGAACCACGACCACTGTCTTCTCCATATGTAAGCATCAGCGCATCCCTTCTTTCTATACTATGAGCTCCTTCAAGGCAAGGACTTGGTGTTTTAAATTTTTATTTTATTTTTGTGCACTTCCCAGACAGAGAAAGAGTCATATATAGAGAGAAAGCATTGGGGGGGGGGTGAGAAAACACCCGGAAATGGGGAATAGTCACAGCACAATCCCGTCTCTGCCATTTCTCCCTCTTTTCGAGATTTCAGACACGCAGGCATGCACATACAAACCTGGCACATTTCTTAAGCCACAGTGTCCAGATCTCTAACCAAACAGTTGGCCACATGGGATCCAGCTGCCTTAACCACCGTGCCATGGGCTGGCCCAGGACTCTGTCTTTCTCATCTCTGATTTCTCCAGTGGATTCAGCCCAGTGCCTTGTACTCAGCTGCACCTTGTCAACTGGGTTGACCTTTTTTCCCCTTATTTCTCATTGTATCCAGGTGTTAGGGATTTTCTTCATTTTCATGAACATAACCATAAATCATTCCCTTACCACTGAGCCTACTATCAGAATTGGGACTTTTTTGCTTTTTCTTCCAAAGATTTTTTTTTTTTCCCCCAATCAGAGCAGAATGCTTCCACAAATGCCTTTGACCATTTTTGTAACTTCCTAAGGATACTTTATTACTGACTGGTCATTTTCCAAAGCAGCTTTTAATCATAGGACACATTAATTTCATAGAGAGAACTAGTGAACCCTTCTAAAATATGGCAAAAGAAGTTCACCCGTTTCAGAGTTATGGCACAAGGACGACAGAAGAGCCAAGGAATAGTACTCAATCTTTGTCTCAAGTCAAGCCTCTTTTTCCACCCTGTAGTTCTGTCTCCCCAACTAAAGCGCAGGCCATGTTCAAAGCAGAGGCTCTGGCTTTCACTCTGGCATCCTGGTGCCTAGTCTAATGACTGGTACAGAGGACGCACTTCACAACCGTTTGCTGTAAAAATGACTGAAATGGAGAGGCCCAAAGTCACTCTTAATGGCAGAGCTAGGACTGCAGCCAGAGGCGATCTTTGCAAGACCCGTCATGAATCATTCATTCATTTAACATTTACTAAAATCCTGCTGGGGGCCAGACACTGGGCAAAGCATTGAGAACAAAAACACAGTAAGATCCAATCTTCTTACTTAAGACCCAGTCTGCACTAGCAGGAGAGACAAATATGGAACTCCATCTTTATAACATATTTTCTTTTTTGAGAGTTTTTTTGCTATAGGGCACGTGCGCTTGCCAGAAAGAGAGAGACAAAAACCAAGAAATCACCCCCCGCCCCCAGGGAGGAGGGC